CAAGTAGGTTTTTGAGCTTTTAATCGCAAAAAAAGCCTTAAAAGTTTTTTGATGTATGCAGTTTTGTAGAGCTCAAGGAACTCGATCGAACCATGTAAAAATATCCAAGGAAAATATTTTACTTCGGTTTGGATTACGGGCACCTTAATTTTTCCACCCCAAAAAAAAAGCATAAAATTTCTGAAAATTTATTAAGTTTGACCTTAAAATGGTTTCATACCTTTCACTATTTAGTACCAATAAACCCTATTTTCGACCAGCTTTCATTTGATATAAAATTCATCATGTTTTCTATTTGAAATTATAGCGGTACTCCCTCCCCTTTGAATAATATTATTTCCTACCCTGTACATACACTTCCTCTTTCTTCTTGGTGCTAGGCAGTTCTAAGGTGCCAGACATGTTGACCAATGAAATGAATTTACTGTTATTTTCAAACTTGAAGAGCTCACCCACACCTAATAGCGATTCATCAGCCATCAGCTAGAAAAGACTCAAGGTAAAAGGTGTTTAAACATAAATTGAACTCATTGGCGAAGCATTACAAATCGATCCTAAACATTGTGATCGAGCTAGGAACTCGATCAGTTTTAATGGCATCGCTCCATCGTTTAGATACCCGCAATCGCTTAAAAATATATTTTTGTAAATTGATGACGACAACGATAAATTCGTTAAAGAACTGATTGACTATTAGCGTCTACAAGATGATATTGCTGAAAGCCACATTATTACGATTAAAAAAGAATATTGTCATCGTACACCCATGTGTTGGTACATGACTGCATTTTTTACAGGGGAGTGGGTGTGGGCCTTCTCTTCATTGTCACGCATCCATATTCTGTACGCTATAAAAGTTAGCATCATATGTGTTCTTTCAGTTTTCTTCCAATTGAAAAAAAAATAATAGAGAACAAAAAATATTATTGCTACATATTCAAGTTGTAAAAGCTGATTTCAACTTGTTTAATTTTGTGTTTTTCCTCCACATCGGATTCTTTCTAGAAAAATGTCTATTAAAAAATTTGTAGTCCAGATATTGCTATTTCTAATTAATAAATTGATTGGTTTAGAAGTCGTCAATACGTGATGATCAAGTTTGGCATTTTTTCTTAAGTTTTTTGCATCACATATTGAATAGATAAAGAACAATGATGGATACTGGTAACCGATAACAATTAAAAGTCTCGATGGTAGATAAGAAGAAGCTACAGAACAAGGAAAGATTATTGTGCATTAGAAAATGTCAAAGTGACTCTCGAGAAAGTGTTCTCGAATAATCTAAACCTACATCCGTTTTTGGATAGAAAAACGTTGAAAATCTACAACAGCTTCGACTTATGTATTTATCTTCTTGTTTTTAGTCAAGTCCCATTGAATGTACCACTATTATTGTTAAAAAGATACTAAAATATGTGGCGCTGTATTGCCATCTCCTCTACTGTTTTGATGTCTATTCTGTTTTGTCCAAGCTTGATTCATATTCTGCATTTCAATCTTGTATCGGTGGTGAAATTGGTTAGACGAAGTGAATTTTATATCTAAGATGAAATGACACTGTTACACAACATAAAATGACTTATTTAGAAATCCAAGTTTCCAGAAAACCAACTGTTCAGTATTTTGTGTATGAGATATTTGCAGAAGAGTATTTATTGATATAATTTATAGAAGAACTTTAACTATAGGAAAGCCGGATCATGTCTTTTTTGCTTCCAAGTAATATATTAATAATTATTGAAGAGTTCTTGAAGGATGAATCGAAGTTTCAAGTCAAATAATTTTTAATGCACAATTTGTTTCTCTTATTGTAAATATTGTATTAGGATTAATTTTATTTGTCTTTCCATAGCAACAACATAATCGTTGGCGAACTGTTTGACGAAAACGACTTGAAGCAGCAAGAAATACATAAAAACTTCCCTTAATATGTTAAATAATTGTTTCTTCAAATAAAAATTTTAAAAAAATTAACTTACTCCAAAATTAAAAAGACCTAATAAACTTGTAACAGTTAGAAATAAAAAATCTTGATCGACTTGTTCAGCACTTTTATTTCTATTCGATGTTGATAAAATATATGTATTATAAATACCAAATAGTATTGTTGCAACAACAACAAAAGTAAGTTGTAAACAAACCATTGTAATTAATTGACAACCAGCACCAATTAACTGACCTGATTTAGCTAAGCGCCGCATATTCTTATATGCAAGATAACCAAATGTAACCAAAGTTATTGTGGGAATCGCAAGCAAAACACAAAAAAAATGTATATATGACCAGTAAATAGATAATATTTCATTATTAATCACACATTTATTTGATCTAAACATTTTATTTGAATTTCATACGAGCTAAGATTATGGAAAACCTTATTTTATACGGTACAAAAAAAATCCTCAATATTCTCCTTGTAGACTAGGTAATTTGAATAGCATGCATAAGTTGAAAAGCAAGTATGACAAAGCTGCCTACAAAGTGAAGTGAAGTGAAGTGTTTAAAAACCGAACTTGTACAAAAGAACTAGTTATTGAATTCAGTTTACATTAGACGAGCTGTATGTCACAATAGTAGACAAAAGTTTCCACCTCATCTTCATTTGGCTAAAATACGTGCTAGAGGTCTAAAAATTTGTGTGCATTTGTTCAACCTAGAATATACGTAATAGATTTGATTGGTCTGTATCAAGCCTTTCTAGATTTGTGACCAATTTACCATGATTACTGGTTTGAAATAAAATCTATCTTCTGTTCTTTGGCAACCATAACTCACTAATAGTTCAATGAAATAGGTTTCAGTTTCTAGAAAAACTTCGCCAATATTAAAACATTGTCATCTATAAATCTCAAAAGAGGATCTTGTACTAAGAAAAACAGTTGACTAATGATCATCGGGTTCATGTTGAGGATTCTGAGATATTCAGAAATAGAAAGCGTTCTGCAAATGAGCTCATCGTTCTAGTAAACAACACTGATAGAAGGGACTTCGGTTTTATACTAAAAACTGTAGATTTGGGACATGGAAAAAAGATCAATCACCTGATCTAGAGTTATTGCTTTGAATTCAGATTCTTTGTGGATCGACTTGAACTTCTAGAAAAGCTAATCTCTGTGTTGATTTTATCTTTCGTACCTTGAAATAGTGATAGCAGTTTATCGGTCGAATTGGAAATTCTTTTTTTTTCTATCATACATATTGTAATTGAAATAATTCTTAGATAATACCAATCTAGATTAAAACTTCTTTTATTCTAAATAATTATTTCTTCATCTGCCAACATATATGAAATGACGTTGTTCATTTTTTCTTGTTCTCTCTAAGCCTTCTCTTACTAAGGAATTTCAATAGAAAATCAACCAAATAACTGTCAACAACTTATAGAAGCCTAATAGATGAGAAAATAATCCTTAGTTTTCATTATTAATATATTTACATACCGTATTTGATTGTAAACAAGAAAAGGCACACTATGAATATGCCAGAAAATAATAAACGCAACAACAATTCGATGAGTATTTTCCATATTACTAAATTGTCGTAAACGAACATTACCTGATGTTACTAAAAATTGATCAAAAATAGCCAAAGATGCAAATGTTAATCCCAATGGAGCATATGTTGCAATTATAAACTGACGAGCTTTACACCAAATAAGGGATGAAGATGTTAAATCATTATCAAAACCAACCATAAGTATTCTTGTACTCATTGCAATTGTTAAATGAATAAAACTTGCAATAACGGAACATAATAGATAAAATGTTGATGGTGTTTGGCGATACATGCTTACTGTTAAAAATAAAAATATATTTAATACATCACCTAATATTCCTAAACTTAGTATTGGAATACAAAAAAATCATGCATATATGATAGATATGTATCTCCATGATGACATTTTAGAAAGTAGTGGTAAACTTGAAAAGGAATTTATATGAATGAACAGAAAAGATTTTTATGTCTTTCTTAGGATTAAAATAATCTTCTATTTAAGAAAATATATGTCTGTTGAGGCATTCAAAAACACAAATAATAATAAAAAGGCACAAGTTGACGACTCTATATATTCTTATTGTGTTTATTTTTTATCAGGATTGATTTCGACATGAAGAATCAAAACGATTCAATTTTCTTTTCTCAAGGAACAATGTATTCAGTCTTTTATTTTCTAGTTCTATTATTCATTTTCAATTCCTGTCGATCAGTTACTTATAATCTATTGGCATTAGTCTTTATTTGCCATGTTAATGATTATTTTATACAACATTTGATAAGTTTTTGTTGATTATTTCACATCTTTTGTATAGTTGCTGAGATCATACTTTGAAATTTTTAACTATAATGATTTATGATACACTTAAGCGATTTTGACGAACTATTTTCATATATGCCAAGATTTAGAATATTAGTTAGATCAATTTCTCTACAACTATGAAAGTGTGAGAATGAGATGGGCGTAGTTGTGATTATGGGTTATCCTTTTGCCGATACTTGCACTCATACCCAAGCGCTTATCTGAATTTTTGTTGTCATTAGCTTATACTATGATCCGTTTCAAATTAATATGCACTCAGCTGTTTTTTCAATAAGTCAAGAATGGAAAGAGCTAAAAAGCTGTGGTTTTTACCAATCGAGAGAGAAGATATGGGGACGTCTTTTTTTTCTCATATTTTATAAGATGAGATCGTTTTAAAACCAATTATTTCTGCAAACTATTGCAAAAAATGCATGAAAACGGTTTCTTATTTCGATGAAATTTTGCTTTTGATATGTGATTTAGATAGAGAGACTTCGGTTCTATAATTCAAGGTATAATTCGAATGATTATCATCACGCATCCTAATGTTTACCAAGTCAAACTGTATATTTACTCCCTCGAAAACTATGGATTTTTCTTATTTTTTAAGCAAGTTTTCTTACTTTTTGTCAAAATTTCATGGAAGCAACAGATCATTTTTGTACATTTTGTCAATGTTTTATAAAAATGATTGATTTTAAAATGACTTTGTCTTGTACAATATTGGAGAAAAAGACGTTCCCGCATTTTCTCCATCGACTGATGAAAACCGCAGCTCTTCAAGTCTTTCGGTTCTTGAGTTATTGGAAAAACAGTGGAGCGCATTATATTTTGAAACGGACAATAGATTGTTTTACTTCTGATTTCAGTAGGAAAAACGCAATAAACATAATCAAATAATGCCTAATCATGAATATTGGTAGACTACTCCATACGTACAATTTTTTATCTTATAGTTATTTCAAGAAATAAAATATTAATTTTTATATAACAAGAAAGAGAACTGATTTCTGCATCTACTCATATAAAAAACAGATTTGAAGTTAGGATGTCGGTGTTGATGTGCGTGTAAGCATCCTCTGTTGAAGATATCCACAGTCACACACACTTGCTCATACCTACACTCTACTGTACAAGTCAATAATATACATAACATTCTTAAGACGATGTAAATTCAATTTTCATACCAATATAGCGTAAGTTTGACCGTCAGCAAGTTGTAAACGCTTTATAATTCTTTTTAAAAACAAAAGTAACATATCCATAAATTGATGCCACTGTTACCAAATGTTATATACAATAAATACCTAAATCAAATGATGTCTATAAAGACTTTGTCGAAACAGTTGAGTTCATAGAAACTTTGATCACAGCTATACTTTTTGTCCATCATTAATTACACTGAAGCTACTAAATCAAGTAGCATCATTGTCTTCTGCATAACTTAAAATATTGGAATTAGTCTCCAAAGAAAAGCATTCATATTTCAACCTAGAAGACTTATCCTAAAAGAGTTGCAAGATTATCAAGAAATAACTGCAAGAAAATATTTGATCTTCTTCAGCTCTCAGGATACATGCTTTATTCTGAGAATTCACTAGCAAAAGACATCTAGTATTGCTATAGTGATAGTTAACTTCATTATATTGGACTTGTCTCTCTTTAGTTTCGCTGTGAAATGGATTATTTTAAAAAACATTTCTGGATTTTATTCAAGTTTACTTTTTCGTGAGTACCTTAGAGTGAAGTTCAATTATGCAGAACTTCAACATTAAAATAAAGAAAGTGTCATTCTGTGTCTTTGCAATAGCTAATTATTCTTGATTCAGAACAGTTAATTAGAAAAAGAAAAAAAAGACTGAAATTTCTACCGATCTCAATTTATTTTATGAATCACTGGTTCACAATCGCTTATCGTCTTTTTACTGTAGTAGTTGCTACAATCTTTACTTTTGACTTTGCAACTTCGTATTTGATAAAAGACTTTGGTTCTGCATATACAATTTATTTAGTTGTTATCATTCGCTCACAATATTCTCAAAATTCAATTAATACAATGAATTATGCATCTATTTTATTCTGTGGAGGTATTGATGCAGTTCCAGGAATGTATTGCATGCAAACTGAAATCGAAAAATGTTGATTCAATCAAATCGTCATCTATGCTTAAACATACTTCGAAAAAGTGAAAGAGTTAAGTGAAACCCCAATGGTGGGTGTGGATATGAAATTAGAGCGAAGAAGAACAAATAAATCTATACCAATATCCTAAATTTTGTTCATCATGCAGGTACTCATTCAAAACATAAATTAAATATTTACTTTTTTTTGACATTTGAATCAGTAGATTGAAAAACAAGTTCTGTTGAACAAAAAGCTTTTCTTTCCATCATATATTGAACAATTTTCGAAACTATACCAAAGATATTCGTTTATTTGACGAGTGAAACTGCGACTTGAAAACTCTTCGCTAGTTTGAGTCGAAGTTCAATGGCAAGATGAATAAAATATGAAAATTGTATCCATTCTGGACTCTAAGACAAGAACAGTTCGATATCGGATTCTCTAAGAAATGCTTATTACATAAAAAAGAGAATCCACTCGTTGATTTAATTATCTAAATTTCACACACAAGAACCCAATTCTGTATTCATTGAAACTCTGAACTTAATAATCTTTATGATGAATTTGCTAATTTTTGACAGCGACTTAACAAAATATGAATCAATAGATATGAGACCTGATGTAACGACTTGATTATTAGAGGTTTCTAGAAGGTAAGTGGAAGTATGGTTTTTCATTTCATTCACATCCAGAGTATGGGTATGAATATGGTTCTTTATTTCTCCCAAATACCACCCACATATACAGAATCATATCCTATTCTGGGAGAGTATAGGGCTGTAAAATTCTTTTTTTATTAGAATATGATCCAAAACATTTTATCTATGTCAGAAAATAAATTCAGCAACGTGACGAAACTATTTTCAAGTTCAATTAGCAGCACATATGTAAACAAAAAGGCTAAAAATCTGATCAATATCGATTTTCGGCAAAATAATCGCAAAATAATCGATTAAAAGTATCTTATTTCGATTAAATTCAATATAACATTTGATTATAACGGATTTTACTCTGTAAAAACCGATTAAAATTGATTTTCTTGAGAGGAATCGGAATAATTGATTAAAAATCTAATGTATTTCAAGTGAATATTTCTGAAATTGATTAAAATCAAACAACAGGTAAGCATATATTAAAGTTGAACGACAGGTAAGAATCGATTAAAATTCACCAACAGGTAAAAATTTACTAAAATCGAACAACAAATAGAATTAGATTAAAATCAAATAACGAGAAATAATAGATTAAAATGGATTCAAAGATACCTATATAATAAAAAGATGAGAAAAACCTGATATTAATCGATGTTTTTGCTTAAAGATAGATTAAATTGGCACAATTTTCATCCGGTTCTCAATCACCCAAAGATTGATTTTCATCAATTTATTTATTAATTATTAATCGATGAAAATCAGATTTTTTCTCATCTTTTTGTTACATAGGCAATAGAAAGTTGTTTTTCACAGATATTGTTTGTTGCAGACAAAAATGTACAAGAGATCAGATGAAATGTTAAACTGAAGAGAGAAAGAACACAAAGAATATGTGAGGAACAAAGACCTTCATTCTTTTCCATTTATAAACATTTTTTGTTGTGGCTTCTAGCATTTACTATTACGCTGAATCGATTTGCTTCGTCTGCTTATTTCATCCGAAAAGAAAAATATTTCAGACATACATTTACGACAAATAAAAAGTGTGAATATCTATGGAGCGAGGACGACGACTTAGTTCAAGTTTGTCTCGTTTCTTTCATAAAAAAGTGGCACCAAGTCAGCAAAAAAATGAAACTGAAACTGTCAATTCAGTACGTATATTTCTTATCATTACGATTTATCGATCTTTTTTTTTTCAAAATCCTAGCCGTTTATAAATGTATAGCGTAGCCCAAGAGTCACTTTACCGAAAAAAAATGAATATCTTCACCATACGTTGACTAACTAATTTAATATTCATACGACTGGTAACGGAGTGTTCATAGATAATATTTATGAAAAGTGACATCAATCAAAATTGCTTTGAAGCATTATTATTAACTTCAATAAAGAATTGCAACCTTTCATGAGTTATAGAAAACCAATATAACTGTTCCGTTAGGCAAAATAAAACTACATTGTATCTCGAAAGTTTCAACTAAAAACAGCAAGGACTTGTTGAGTAGACGGCAATAAAACTTTTTCATAACACATGAGAGGTTTCAGTTTTTTTATTGAGATTGACAATGATACTTCATAACAGAGCTTGTCAATATTTTTCTTCTAAATATGATCTATGAACACTTCTTTATCAGTGGTAAAAAACTCATCGGTTCAATCACAATATAGCAAAGATATTCAGGTTTTTTTTCTTTTATAAATTGACTT